ACAGACTGTTGAAGAAGACTCCCTGAGCACCAATGATCATCATCTTCATGAACCAACCAGGCTCACACATCTTCATGAAAGTCAAAAGATGCATTCGTTCGTTGTAGCTCTCTTCGAGGAGTGTTTCGATCCAGCCATTATCTCGTTTCATGCGTCGAAGGCTGCCGAGATGGCGCAACATGCCCCCAACCATGCCGGGAACCCCCGCCACGCTCTCGAGGAAGATGAATCGAATCAACTTTGTCTTTGTCAGTCTATCCTTTCGTGATATGTTGCACAGGTGGGATGCGGCTTACCCATTGAGCCTCGGTGAGTGGCTTCTGAGCCTCGATGGCTGTAGTCGGCTTGGTCTTGTCGGATTTCTGATCACGGTCCATACCTGTGGCCTTGTCCATGCAATATCTGGCAAAGCGGACAATTTTCCAGGCTGTATAGTCACCGACTGTCCTGGGAGGTCGATGAGCGGGTTCGACCGCCAACATTTCATCATATGTGTACCCTTCGTGTGGCCAGGCTGGCTTGGTCGTCTGGATATGTGGCGTCTCTTTGACCGGAAAGAAGTCACGAAGTTGGTGTGTTGGTGTTGATGAGAAGAGCCGATGTTGCTGGGAAGCGGCACAACCAGCTCGAAGAGCTATAGGTGCTCTCGCCAGTGAAGAAGAAGATATGGTTCGAGTGAAGCCAAGTGCAACAGCTTTTGCTGCTTGCCGTGAAGCTTGGCTGTGCTGAATTTGGAATGACAACATCGGGGCAAGCAACAGTTATGATGTCTTCGATATATGGTATGTTTATTGCAGATATCGGCCTCAGCTTATCGTTGATCGAGTCGATTCTTCGGTATGAAGATAGTATAATGAAGGTTCTACCTGAGGAGGTCCAACTGAACATTTATATGTATTCCAGAGATAAGCCTACGGAGAGGCGTGTCTGCGTGTCAGACGCCATCCCCAGCATACCCCAGGGGTCCAATTGAGAACAAGAAAATTATGGTGTCTGTATCAGCAAGATGTCCAAACGCCGTTCTACTTCGGCGTGAAATTGCTGACAAGAGACGTTACCAAGGGGAAGTGCACGAAGACAGACCGGGACAAGCACTCAAGGTGAGCGGCGTCTGCGGCACACCGCGGCCGCCGCTAACTAGAACCGGGGTCAACTGTCAAAGTCTAACCCAGCCAGACCGTTCAGACGAGCACCTGGAGTCCTTGTCAATTACGATGGTCCGCAGGGGCCCAAGCAATCGGGACTGTCAGTGGAAACGCTAGAAAGGCCTTCCCGAAGACCTAAATCGGGAATATGACAAAGATCCGTCATAGGTTGATTGCGGCTCAAAAGTTTCACTGCCACGTGAGTGCGGTTCATCGGAAGGACTCGGATGTTGACTACTTACACAGCACTCGCAACGGAGATCCTGAATCCTGGCTTAGGAATCACTCGCGATCTGGCATCAACCAAGGGGCTGGTGGCACGTGCTATAAACGGTCCTATTATTTTGACTACTTTGGAAACTTGCTCACTAATCTAGGAGCATTTTTTAAATGCCGGCCTGATGCGGATACAGCAGCTGGTATCGGGATTTCTCGATACCAACACTACACAGTTGACATTATCGCTTGGCCATTCAAGCTTATGGGGGATTTTCCGGGATATTGACAGTTATTCATTGGGTGAATCAAAGGCCTTATGGTCAGCTGCTTGTGTGAATCCTCGTATAACCGGAGATGCTAGAGACGTTGACTTACATGGATACACCGTAGTCTCGTCCCAGCAATGCAGGTGTTCTCGACAAATTCTCCCTTGGTAAGAATGATGAAGCTTGACACATCATGTAAAGGGTACAGTACCTGGTGTATCTCATGCTAAACTTGCGTACTAACCCATCTGCAACGAACACATTGTATCTGTGAGGTAAATGAAAGATAATTGGTTGTTATTGCGAAGGTCAATATGTATATCCATTAGTGTCAACCCACGCAAAAGAATGTGTAGTCAGGGCCGAAGTACAACATGTTTCTCATCATTATGTACTCGCTCAGCCTAGATAAGGCATTTAAACCTAAAATACATTGCAACCCATATTGCATAAATGTAAGGAAACTCACGAAGTAATTACTATAAAAAGAACTCCACACGATAGGTGTTCGTGGTACCGGGTAAGTCATGATAAAAAATCTACTACACCACAACATTGAGACATGTCACCTCCGCGATAGTATACAGCTTCAGATGTCAAGGTAGTAACTCATATCTCAAGATTCCGAAAAATAGAAGACAAGAGCGGCATTAGAGTGTTGTGGGAAAAAACAGCATGGTTTCAGAGCTGGGACTTAGCCCCTCTCACGACCTTCAAGAAATCGGTGAAGTAAGTGCTGGCGTAAAATAATTTCAGAGTTTACAGTATTAAAAGTACTAACTAATAACAATAGCGTAGAGAGGAATATGGTTATTATACTAAAGTCTAACCTATTCCTGTTGAAATGAAGTTGGTCGCGGATGCATCATGATTAATGGAGAGGGTTTACTCCATAGAGTGTAAAAAAATGCGCCAATTCTTCTTTTTTTAATCGGCCAAACTTTCACACTAAAAAATGCCCCTCCTTTAGATCGACAACCCCTCCATCCCACTTTGAATATGCTGGTTAGGAGTAAAGGCTTTCTGCCTGAAAAGCAAATACCAATACTGTAGTTTTTACAGATCTATGAAAAGTATATGCTAGACAGAAGCGTTTCTCGTAGTGTACATGTATAAATACCAGACGATGATATTGGCTTAAATCCTGTGCAGACACTACCTACTAACCTTTAGTGTTTTCCGTTTACGCTCTCTTCCTTTGTTCCTTGTTTCAAGATCCGTCCTCGACCCGTTTTGTACCGCAGCATCAAAACACCCACCCACACCCGCACAACTCACACAAAACTTGCCCTTCACACATCCTCGCACCCCAGAAATCCACCCTACTTCAACTCTATCAACCACCAAACGCGATACCATACTATACTGCCAGGAACAGACATCATGCCTCCTAAGAAGTGGGGTACGTATAAACACCTTCTAAACCACAGTCTGGAACCCATTCACAGACTACTGTGATGTCTCAAGCGAAATGGACTTTTGCGGGGTCGTTGGGTCTGATGCTTGCACGGCAAGCAGCGCCCTCAAAGAGCATAAACAGCTAACAAGCGCATTCAGACGACGAAGAGAGCGACGACAGCAGCTCTTCCGGCTCCCCCGTTGTCGGTACCGGTGCCGCTTCTCGACGCAAGTTTGACGACGAAGAAGATGATGGCGACGTAAGTCTTTGCCTTGAAGCCTGGTAGATGTCGTCGACCCTCGAATCGCTGACACCTTTCTCCCCATCAACAGGTTCTAGATTCATGGGACGCCGATGACGACTCCGAGGCCGAGCGTGAGAAGGAGCGCAAGGCTGCCGAGGCCAAGCAGAAGGCTGCTGCAGCCGCTGCCGCAGCCAAGAAACCTAAAGGTCAGCGAATTGCTGAACACCAGGCCGAGCGTGCCCAGCAGAAAGCCGGTGCCGCCAATGTTGAGGAATATGAAGAGACAGAGGCTGAGAAGCGCGAGCGACTCCGACGCACCGAACAGGAAGCCGATCTCGCACACGCCGCCGACATGTTTGGAGATATTGGTATCAGCGCCGGCCGTGCCAAGTCCCGTCCTGCTACTGTCGTCGTCGACTCCAACGACCCAACCAAGACCATCGACATTTCCAAACTGCCTCTCTTCCAGCCCAAGACTAAGGCTCAGTTCGAGACTCTCCGCACTACTCTTACTCCTATCATCTCAGCCAACTCCAAGAATGCCCACTACAGCCTGTTTCTCCAGGATTTCACCAAGGCTCTTGCTAAGGATATGCCCAGCGAACAGATCAAAAAGCTGGCCAGTACGATGACTGCTCTGGGCAACGAGAAGATGCGGGAGGAGAAGGCTGCTGATAAAGGAGGCAAGAAGACAAAGGCTGCCAAAACGAAGACGTCGCTGGTTACTGGTCGCGCTAACGCCGCCGACACCACGACTTATGACGATGCCGATGATTTTGGAGAGTTAGTGCCCCCTCGAAACAGGCGTTCAGACTGTACTGACTTTCTTCTAGTGATGACTTTATGTGAAGCGTTGTTAAACGATACAGCAAGGGTAGCTTTCATTCAGACGCTGAACCGTAGCTTCCGTTTTAACTCATACCTATCTGCCCCCTATCCGTCGAGCCGACTGCTCGCCGAGCTGGGCGACTCGAGACATGCCGTTGACGCAAAAAACACTTTGTGGTTTCAAGATACAGCCATGGAGGCCTCTTGGGTGCTCGGACATAAGGAGGGCAGCAGACAGAGGGTGGTGGATCGGAGAGGATTGTGCCTTAGACTCAAAATATGGTAAATACACGGAAGAAGTGGAGGGCGTCAAGGATCATACATGGGAACCATGCAGAACCAGCTTCGCAGAGCATATTTCGTGCTCTTAACATACTCTTCTACGGGCTTAGTATAAGGAATTGTTTTTGAAGATCAGACGCCATGGGCATCTGAGGCATATGTTGATTTGTCTCATTGAACTCATTAGATAAAAAGTAGAGGGCGCTTTGCAATACACTGGAAGAAATGGAACACTATTGAATCTGGTCTGCACAGTTCATGGATCATGTTCATTCATATACCTGAGGCAGCTTATGCTATTTCATGTGATGAAGGCTGCCACTACGGCAAGGGTATCTCATCAATTGCCGCCCATCATGTTGCTCCTATAAGCGATTAAGGAGTAGAGTAAAACCACGGACGAGGTCCTCATCGTTCATATATAGAATCCCACCAACGCCAGCCATCGTCAGCCGTATCATAAACTTTCCAATCTTTAACGCCGTTGTCGCCTTTCCTTAACATGAGTCACTGCTCTTACACAACGCCGATAAAATATACAAAGTCGCACACGTATCGTCATTCGACCCCCATGCTCCGGTTATACTCGAGCAGAGGAGGAGCCCGTGGTAGAAAACTCACACCACGTTGCCTGCCATTCCCATAAAGAGGGCATGAACCGCTAGCGACAAGGTCCAGAACCCAACCTTTTTGAACCGCCGAACACGGCTCTGTTGGTTTTCGACGTCATTCGCAAATGCATCGTAGGTCTCCGCTGACATATCGTTCATTAGACCACAGTCAAAGATCGACCAGCTACCATCGAAGTCGCTGGCTCGTTTCACGATACGGCAATTGATTGGTATATATGTCTTCTTCGCGTTGATATAAGCAACGATAGGACGGACCAGTGCCTGATTGACGTAAGACATATCTTTGGTGAAGAGAGGGACTGCAGCTTTGACATCGTTCATGGAGATTCGGAGGTCCATGATGAGGTAGCGACGCTCATCCTCACTTGTCTGTGGCTCGGCGGCTGGCTTTTCGCCGTGGATATCTCCAGCTGAGTCTGAAAGGTGTCCTGATGTAAGAAGAGCAGGGCCTTGCTCTTGGATGTTGCGCATGAAGCGGTGCCTATTTGTGTCGACGATTTCTTCAAGCTGGTCGTAGAAGTCGGCCATGACCTTGGTGATGCTCTCGTCGGTGTCAGCGGGAAACATAACATCAGCAACAATATCAACATTCCCTTCGTATATCCAGCCAAAAGGGCCCTCAACACCGCGGTTGAGATGGTCTATTTTCAAACCATCAATTCGGAGTCGACTGAACTTTTTCCACGCCTTTGGATCACCAAAGCCGACCGAAGCTTCTGGGTCACCATTACCACTGGGTACCACGCCGTGGACTTGTCGGGGATGGATCGTAAACAGCGACCCATCGTAGGATCCTGACATGTGGTTGGCTGAAAGGAAATCATAAAATAGCCACTGCTTGCGAAGCTGGGGCAGCTCGCAAGAGAAGATGCTGATAGAGAATGGCCGGAACCCGCCAGGTTGATGAACGGTGAGTAATAGGTCCTCCATCTTGAACTTTTCGATCTCAAAATCTCCTGGTTGGTGCTTGTGACGATATGACAGAGGATCGACCTCCTCGGCTGGCCATGTCACTGAAGTTCGGTCAATGACACCGCGAACACCCTTGATTTCAACATCTTTCAACAATCCTTTGCCATTCCACCAGTTCAGGAATGATAACGTGACATTGACCGTTGAAAGAGTGACGTCAAATTGAGTGTAGTTTCCATCGTCCTCAGTTTCAGACGTTCCCACGAGATCTGCTTTGCGGCCGGCAGCAGCCTCGGCGGCAGCATCTGATGAGCCCTTGCTCACGGATGAGACGTTGCCTTGGCCAGGTCGTCGGGACACAAAAACGTTGCGGAAAGAGATAACATTATCACGCCACTTGGGAACAATAGCAGACTCGAAAACAACGGTGACGCCAGCAGACTGTGTCAAATAGTCACCTACCCATTGCGCGAGGGTTTCTGGTGTATGTTAGCATGTAGATCCTTCGTGCGAAGCACACTACCATACCTTGGGCAACAACGGTGTTAATTGACAAAATGATCAGGGAGAAGAATGTGGTTGTTCCGACAATAATCCAAGCGAGGTGGCCGAAAAGAAACCATGAAACAAAAGCACCCCATTCGTCAATATTCCACGGTCTCATACTTCTAATCGACACCCATTTTAAACGAACCTTGAGTCGCTGCCAAAAGCCGTTGGCGGCCTCGAGCAGTTCCTCTTTGGTTGGCCGATGCGGCATTCTCGGCAGGTGTAGATAGGACATGTAAGAGACTGGCTCAGAATCCGACCCCGTAGGGTCTTGTTTCCCCAGCTGACTGGGAGCATCTTTGCTTGTTTCGTTCAATGTCGAAGCCTTGACCCTTTCCAGATCTTCTGTTGTTTTAGCTGGTGTGGTGGAAACACCCGTGATATCCTTGCCGCAGGAGCATTTTGATCCATTACCCTGACCACTGCCACCGCCACTGTACAATCGTTGCTGTTGCCATGGCTTCGATGACCAATATGACCAGTGGGATATTTTACGAGTTGAGGCGTGCGTTGTAAGAGGGGTTATTCGCTCGGGAACATATTTTCGAGGTTGAAATGCATGGCGCAATAAAAAGGCTGGCGTGACAGGCAACGACGCTTTGTCTGAGATTGGATCAAAAGTCTGACATTTTCGGTGGGAATGAATAAATCGAGTATTTGAGAGCACGATTGTCGCCGGTAAGAATGACCATTTCCGACTGATTTCTGCAAGAGGACGTATGGTGACCGAAGAGGCTGTTGCTGGAGAAGAATTGAAGCAGATACCAGAGCAACGCCCGATCAGAGAAGAGGGGATACCCTTGGCCATCATTCCAGCATCATGGTGCCTAACTGAAGAACAAGACGACACCGAGAACGTAAATAGGGCGAAGTCAGAGCCAAACCGGACTTTGTTGTTGTAGTTTCTAGGAAAAAAGCAAGATTACTGTTACGGGGGAGGAGTTGATCGGGGTTAATGAACGACAGATTCCGTCACTGCAAATGCTAGCCAAAGCTGCACTTCCATGGTTCCGGTTGGAAAAGTCACTCCATGACGCGCCTGGCTACTGAAGGCAGAAAACCAATCGATAAGCTACGATAAGCCACACAAATTTTTGATCAGATTGCTCGAAAGTCACCAACGCCCCCACCAAACCAACCTCTGATACCCTTAGACGTCTGTGAATTTGACTTGGACGAATTTTCTACGACCAAAGTTTTAGCATATACACGTGCCTCGAGAACAGCTCTGGAACCCCATAGCAAGAGAATATCGCAAAGCAAAGCCACTCATTCGTTATTCACAATGCCTGCGCCGACCGCTTTGAAGAACGCAGAGGATGCCCCGCCCGCTGTGGACGTTCCGCTCCCAGTTGAAGGTATGAAAACAAGAAAAATCCGACATAAGAGAATCGTGGAAACATAATCTGATTTTTTTTTTTTCGTTCAGAAAACGACGAGGAGTTTCTTTTAGATGCGCCTGACGCTCTTCCTACCGATGCGGATGTTCTTGTGCCTGTGGAGGAGAGCAATGAGAATGGAATGGCTATCGATGAGGAAGGACGGCCTCGATTTGCGCCCGCCAGAGATATTGTGAGACTCCCATACCGTCATGCAGAGTTTCAATGACCCTAATAACCTTGATAGGACCCAATCACCCGTGTGGAAACTCGCAAGATCCCTATTCCTCCTCACCGAATGACACCTTTAAAACAGTCATGGACTTCTATCTACCCTCCTCTGGTCGAGCACCTCAAGCTACAATGTCGAATGAACATCAAGCGAAAGACAGTCGAGCTGCGCTCATCGAAGCATACCACTGATACTGGGGCACTGCAAAAAGGGGAAGACTTCGTCAAGGCGTTCACTCTCGGGTTTGATGTGGACGATGCCATCGCGCTGCTTCGACTCGACGACCTCTACATCCAAACTTTCGAGATTAAGGATGTGCGAACAATGCACGGTGACAGCCAGGCCCGTGCTATTGGACGAATTGCTGGAAAGGATGGAAAGACCAAGTTTGCTATAGAGAACGCCAGTAGAACCCGAATCGTGCTTGCTGATTCAAAGATTCACATCCTGGGTGGATTCAAGAACATCCACCTTGCTCGGGAGTCAGTTGTGAGCCTGATTCTCGGCAAGCCGCCTGGCAAGGTGTACGGCAACCTCCGAACGGTTGCGGCACGAATGAAGGAACGCTTCTAAGTAACGGAAGCTGACGATAGACTTGGGTTGCTACAAACGGCGTTACGGATGGACAGCATTATGATCTTGGATTATGTGGACAAGGATTACTCAGTTAAAAATGGGAGGCTGTCATAGCATGTCGATAACGATGAAACATTGAGATGAAACGATTTGTCGCTTCGTGGATACCCACCGATACCCATGGGCCAACAACGCATGATGATTGTTGCGGGCTAATTGTAGAGACTGCCAGTCGTGGTTGTAGTCAGATCATGTTTGATACATTGCGTCAATATCACGCTCTGCAGTATCAAACCACGCCTTCGGCCTTACGAGCATTCAGACGTCAACTTCCCACCCAGATGCGAGGGGGGTGGGTTGGCTTCGGTCTCTTGTTGGCTGTAGATTCTCATGAGATGCTGATAGGCACGGACTCAGGTCACTCCATCAGCATCCATGTTTATCAGAACATATCAACTTTCATCGACCGACTCTGGAGCCTTGACCGACAATTGAGCGAAGCACAACGCAATTCTGAGAGTGCCTTGTGGGAATAACATGCCCGATTGAAGCAGGAACATGGTCAAGCCTGCAAGCAAGGCATTGTAAAGAGCCGCTATTCAACGGCACTAATGAATGGCCATGCCGCTACGCACAATGTTCAACATGCAGCTTTCCGGGTCTAGGGAGGATTTGTCTCGTTTCTCGTTGCACCTGGTCAATTTGGCTTCCGATCAGGACGGGGATCGTCCAACCGGAAGACGCCCTCGAGCCGGCACGGCGAGTCTGGGGCAGCGATGCGGCGGACGACGGGCAAGATGAGCCCGCGGTGCCGGGAATCAACGGGAGCGAAGCATGAGCCTGCATCGAGCTGTGTGTAATGGACTGTTGTACGTGGAGATGATGCTATGCACAGCAACATGAGAGAGTCAATGAAGGTGTGTGGAGGCGCATATGGTGGACTATGCTCGTCATGACACTAATTATGAATCCTCGGTCTGTTTTCCATCCTCTCGTCTCCTCTCGGTCTCGGTGCGGCGCTGTGTCGGCGGGCGTGAAATATAGCATGCTTAAGCGGCATAATTCCATATCGCTAGTAATCACCCAATGCCAACGCCGATCTAACACACAGGGAGTAGCAATGTTTGACGTCCTTCGAGGACCCATGTAGCTTACTGGGACCCTAGCGTGTTCTCTTGTCGGCCGTTTACAGTAATGTCAATGTCAATGGATCTCAAGGTGAGCGGCGAACCATTGAGGTGGCTTTTAGCAATGTGGGATGGTTGGATCTAGGTGATTGTAAAGCTTCGTAGAGTGGGACCTGAGCCCAGTCCAGGGGGAGAATAGACCTGGACTTTTGGATCCCTCCTCTGGTTGAATTGGCCGGGCAGGGTGAGATTTGTGAGATCATTTCACCCCTCCAAGGTCAATCGGACCCCACCTCGCAGGTAATTTTTGGTGAGAGAGACGTGGAAGATCGTGCAGACAGACAAGACGGGAGATGGCAGGCTACGTACATCTCATCATACCTTTCTCGTGTCGACCGTTGACTGGGCTGGGCTTCCCATTTTAGGAGTGAGCTTTGACTTTTGACTTTTAATGGATCGACTGATTTCCTCTGGTTTCCAGAAACCATTCATAAACACCTTGTGCTCCCATCCTGTGGCCATCTTTCCCCCCCTCTCTCTCTTTCTTCTTATCTTCATTGCATCCAACACCTCTTATCCTCTTGCCATCATTCTCTCTTGCCTCTAGACAGGTTCTGCTGGCTCCAATTGCATACATTTCATACATAAACACTTTACCTAAGGTGAGTCTCAATCGAGATAAAATAGCTAGTCACAGCTATTATCAATGCCCATACCCCTCCACTGCCCCTCAGCAATCGCAACAGCACACCAGCAAAGCAGAGCGACCTGAGCTCTAGGGAGCTCTTTAGGCTGGTCCCCCTCCCCCTCCAAACCCCTCCTCCACCTTCTGTCACCCCTCAACGATTGGAATAACCCCCACCAAAAAAATGCTATGAGCCGGTTTGATTTGGCGTGGTTTGGTATGGATGGCTGTGATGAGCAATAACAAACCACTCTCCGTTGCTGGGCTGGCTTGGGCTGGGCAACGTTGAGGCATATTTCACCCACTCATTTATTGAGTGAATTTTCCTGGCACTGGCTGGCACTGCTATTGTCCAAGTGCCCGGCGCTCAGCTCTATCATGGCACTGCCCGTTGGAGCGCCAGCCGTTCCATCGGTCGAACCTTCCACTCCATCAGCTATATAATTTCTTTCACCTCTTCATCTCCCCGCTCCTCTCCTCTCCCTCCTCTTCCTCTTCCTTTTCATCCTTTACATCTTTACCTAAAGGCATACCAATTAACCCAACGACCCTTAGAAATCATATCACCTGTCAACATGGCTGTCAAGAAGGTCTTCGCCCGCTCCGTCTACGACTCCCGTGGAAACCCTACCGTCGAGGTTGACGTCGTCACCGAGACTGGCCTCCACCGTGCCATCGTTCCCTCCGGTGCCTCTACCGGTTCGTCCTGACCCCCTTCGGCTACTTTCCGTATGCACTCGCTAAGTTCATGATAATCCAGGTCAGCACGAGGCTTGCGAGCTCCGAGATGGCGACAAGTCCAAGTGGGGTGGCAAGGGTGTCACCAAGGCCGTCGAGAACGTGAACACCGTCATTGCTCCCGCTCTTATCGAGAAGAACCTCGATGTCAAGGACCAGTCCGCTGTCGATGCTTTCCTTAATGAGCTCGATGGTACTCCCAACAAGACCAAGCTTGGTGCCAACGCTATTCTCGGTGTGTCTCTGGCCGTCGCCAAGGCTGGTGCTGCTGAGAAGGTGAGCTTCAAAAATATGAGTTTCATGCTATGAATTTCTCAATTAACCACTTACTGCAGGGCGTTCCTCTGTACGCTCACGTCTCCGACCTCGCCGGAACCAAGAAGCCTTATGTCCTCCCCGTTCCCTTCATGAATGTTCTCAACGGTGGCTCCCACGCCGGTGGCCGTCTCGCTTTCCAAGAGTTCATGATCGTTCCTACGTACGTACCTCGATACGCTCGTCTCAAGCTTCTTCTTTTTTCTAACGCGGTTATAGTGAGGCACCCACTTTCACCGAGGCCATGCGCCAGGGTGCTGAAGTCTACCAGGCCCTCAAGGGCCTAGCCAAGAAGCGATATGGCCAGTCCGCTGGCAACGTCGGTGACGAGGGTGGTGTTGCTCCCGATATCCAGACTGCCGAGGAGGCCCTTGAGCTTATCACCGATGCTATTGAGCAGGTTGGCTACACCGGCAAGATCAAGATCGCCATGGATGTCGCCTCTAGCGAGTTCTACAAGGTCGAGGAGAAGAAGTACGATCTTGACTTCAAGAACCCCGAGTCTGACCCCACCAAGTGGATTACATACGAGGAGCTCGCCAACCTGTACTCCGAGCTCTGCAAGAAGTATCCTATCGTCTCGATTGAGGATCCCTTCGCCGAGGACGACTGGGAGGCCTGGAGCTACTTCTCCAAGACTCAGGACATCCAGATTGTTGGCGATGACCTGACTGTCACCAACCCTCTGCGAATCAAGAAGGCCATCGAGCTCAAGTCTTGCAACGCCCTTCTTCTCAAGGTCAACCAGATTGGTAC